GTCTTTCACGGGACGCTAACGAACGAATTCAACCAGCACCGGTCGCCCACGGATTCTCAACTCCCATGATGGAGTCAAACCCAGGTGCCTCATCAAGTAAGGCTCAGACAGAGTATATCTAGGTGACTCCAGAGCGCACGGCCTTCAAGCCGACGACGTCACGGTTGAATAATTGGGTCTAGTAGTAGAGTTGGAACAGGGGAGAGTGGACAAGGGACGTGTATTAGTTATGGGAGTAACTACTTTATACATGTAATACTACCCTTTCCCGCCCCCAGTCAACCCCGCTTCATGGCTACTACAGTCCATGTATTACTTCTCATACCGTGCATTGCCTCTGAGTATGATGTCTCATGTATGCACGTAGTCCCTGGAATTTGGAGGCTATCAACAGCCACAAACTATGTCGACTTGCGTAACATGTAGAAGATGGAAGGCCACCTCCACCGCAGCCTGAGCTTATGTCTAGCCTTAGGGCTGCCTGTTTTAATATCAGGAATATATTAATTCACTTCAAATATTACCATAAAACTCACGAAAACCATGACCCTTCATCATGGAGACATCAATTTCCTTATCTTTATCGCTCATCCTTCGTGCACTACTGTCCTTGTGGATCATTACTGTTTGCTATTCACGATGAAGATATGACTGCACAGGATATCCGTGATGGTGTTTAGATGCCCTTAAATCACCAGATGATCACCAGCAATTTATAGATCCGTATTTCTATGCTCAACGAGGGTGTAGAGTGCGCCTTATACTTAAACCAATGTTTTGTTCTCTCCACCGTAACCCGAAATGGTGGGCTGACTGTAACACTGTCAACAAGTTCCTTGACAAACATGTCGACAAGGCATTGGCTAGGTTAGATAAGACAAGCTGGACACAGCTCGGAGATCCGGATGGTCGTCTTCGTCTGACCGACGAGATGGGAAAGGCTACTCAAGATCGCTCACGCTCTAGTTCCAGATGCAGAATATCTTCACCCTAGCCCACGACGGAGCCGCCGTTCCACTCAGCAACGCGTTCTTCCATCTGTCAAGGAAGTCAAATGCTTGGGCAAAGCTTAGAGAAGAAGTGTTGCCAACGAAGAACGCACCTATCACTTACAAGCTCTCTAAGACGTATAGATATCTGAAGAACGTCTTTCGTGGAACACACCGAGTCACGCCGATTTCGACCATGGTCTCTCGCCAATGTATTGAGGAAGTCATATTTCCCACTGGAGGGGGAGAGGATGAGAGATCTCCGCTTACGTCCGAAAAGGAGGGACGATTTAAATGAATTTCAGACGCACACTCCGGGATAAAAACTTTTGGGGAGAGAACGCTGATGAGTTCCGGTCAGAGAGATGGAATATCTTGAAACCCGCTTGGGAGTACACACCATTTGGTGGGGGTCCGCGTGTCTGTCTAGGCTTCCGTCTTGCTTTTACCGAAAGTCGCGTATACAATGGTGACAACTCTTCGAGAGTTTGGAAGGCTGGAAAGTCGTGATGATAGGCCATAGACTGAAGAGACGAGGCCGACTTTTCAAAACTTGAATGGAACTAGTGTGGCGCTGTCTCTGCTCTAGACCTATGGCTCTAGAATGCATTTTCTCTTTTATGTCATTATTATTACAACCTTTCCCTCCTATCAAACTCACAGGAGCTCTGGTGGGTAGTCATAAATAATGCCAAGTCGTTTTTACGGCTATAGCGCCATGGCTTATGGCGTTGACATGGCAAACCTTATTACATTAATGAGATACGCAAATGGATGTAGACATCATCATGGCTTATTCTCTTACGTAATGAAGGTGCAACGCCATAAATTGAACGCCACCGTAATATTAATTTACAGCACCACTTGACTTTTAGGTTACCTTAGACAGAGATACATAGCACTGATGGGGGTTCTTCGTGATCGTGTCGTACGCATCCCGCGAGCTCAACTCATCCGAAAGTTTATGGAACTCGAAATTCCACACCAATAACGCCAGTACAATGCGGGTCTCGAGGTACGCCAACCGCCGACCGAAACACCCACGAGGACCCAAACTAAAGGATAACATGGGTCCGCTCTGGGCATCAAATACTTCGTGTCCATTGTCGTCGGTCTTCAACCAGCGTTCTGGTTTAAACAGATGCATGTCGCTTGGGTCCCAGGTCCCGTAGAGTCTCTTGTCACGCGAAGTTGGACTTCGGTCGCTCTCTGCTATGGGAATAGGAGGAGACTGGAAATCCGGACCATCCGCGACGAGGAATATTGCTGTTCCCGCGGGAATCTTGTGGCCTAGGAGCTCGGTGTCGACTACAGCCTCTCGCATGGTTATCGGGATAGGCCCATCGTAACGAAGGGATTCCTCGAGGACAGCATCGAGATATGGTACCTGTATCTTCCATAGATCGACGACGGTTGGCTGCCGCCCCTCAGCATGCGCTGATGCGTAGGCTGTGCGCAGAGCCGATCGCAATTTGGTCTGAACGTCCTGGTGGTCTGCGATGTTCTTGACCATCCCTGCTCCGATGGCAGCAGTTAGTTAAGCATTCCACGATTGTATCTCCCATGAGAGAACGAGGTACGAAGCATCCCCGTAACCGCAAAATTTCACTTACATGCCAATGCCGCCGAACTAGTGTCGTGTCCGCCAATGATATACCCAAAAAGCTACAAATGGTTAACAATTGACCGAGTCTCTCATTCGGTAGGGGTGGGCCTTACTTCATCATAAATTCTTGGTGAATGAAAAACTGGCTGTCGTCCTACTTTATCTGCCGTATTCATCTCCCGCTGCAAAATGTGGTCCATAGCCGACCGCGTGCCGCTCTCGCCCTTGCGAAGGCGCACGACGGCCTTGTCAATCTCGTCACGGAGGAACTTATCCTTCCGAGCGAAGTTTTGAACCAGGTTCCGGTTCGTAAGCATCTGGAAGCGGTGGATTATCTTCGGAAATGGAACCTTGAACTGCTCTCCGAGGTAGTTTGCAACGGCCTCGATGGCGGCGATGTCAGGCAACGCAGGAAGTTCCGGGAACGCAAGGGTCCCATCGGCATTGAGCGTGGGCCTGAAGTTGTTGGAGAGCAGGGAGTCTAACTGGTGCTTAACGATGCTCTGCTCGTCCTCCAGGCCGAAAGCCACGGCATTGATGATATCCATCGCCGCCTCGAAGATGTCTCTCCGCGCGTTGAAGGGTCGGCTTTCTCCAAGCTGAGACTTGAGGCTCCACAGATCAATGAGCGTCATCGCCTTGGTATAAATCTGGGGCGCAGAAACCTAGAGAGGTGATAAGCTGGCTCACTTTGTTGTTAGCAGTAGTTGGGATATCATACCTCGTGTAAGAAGTTCGGCGTCATCAGATCCCGGACGAGCTCCTTATTTCCCTTGAAGCGAGGGTCAGCGGAAACCATGGCTATGTGGTGATTCGGGACCACGCCGGCGAAGAAATCTGTGACCCTTGGGCCACGATCGAACTCGCGCGTGCGTCTCAGCAAGATATCCTGCGTTTCTCGGAAGTCGGCAAGGATCAAGGAGGGCTTTGATAAAGGCCCCAACCAGACCTGAGTAAGGGCAGAATGATGCTTTTTTACATGCCCAGTAAAGTACGGTCGTGTCTTTCCCGTGGTACGAAGCATAAAGATCAGCTCAGGGAGGTTTCCGAAGAGGTTGTTTCGTGCACTCTCATCATAAGGAACACCGGGTATGGGTTTTGGCAGAGCCCAACGGTAGGCGAGGTATGTCGCCGCTAAGATAGCGACAACAAAGAAGAGGGCATTGCCCGTAGGCAGCCCTACTGTAATACGAGGGGCCATTTGTTGAACACGAACACTAAAGGTTGAAATGATAAATCAGGTGAAGGCGCCGTTAGATATTCGAGAAGCTGATAAAGACGCTATTTTAGTCTAAGCTCGAGTCCGAAATACGTAGGTAAATACTTAATTCTACACTGTGATTACTGTAAGTTCTGTGAGTGCCGTATATATGGTAAGAGAGTGGGTGTTGAACAATCATTGAACGGAACTTCTGCAAGGGAGCCGCGGGCTCCGAACAGGTCGTTCGGGATGATAACACTAGTGCTCACACTCACGATCCGAGAGCGAGCAATGCTATCTTTTGTGACAGTAGTGGTAGTACCTATGCAAGGGTCTATTCCAGCGGGTTAAGTACTTAATGCTTCATATTGAGGTTACAGGGTACAGCCGTTGACAAAGGATCGTAGCTCCAACCCCGGGAATATTCTCCTGAGACGTACTCTACTCTAATACATACGATGCACATTACACCTAGTAGGTATTCATTCATCCTTTGCTGTTGTTTCAGGCAGAGATCTTCAGGAATTAAAGAAAGCCGGGGCGCTGCCGGGGTAATTTGGGACCAAGTGGAGATGGACGACGAGGCCAGTGAATGTACCTAGCACGGCACAACTCTTGACCCGGTTCGACGGGTTAAGAAAGAAAATTCTCCCGACGATTGGGCCCAATGAAGTTTATTTCACCTAATCCCATCGGTTAACTTCAATAGAACTGTCCGACTGTGAAATCATCTCATCACACACCCTGCTTGGTGCTAGATGGAATGTTTACGCGAGCATTCAATACAGATCCCTTGCTGAAAGAACGGGGACTGTTAACAGGGTTGATAAGACATATCGTTAACGTTTATGAGGCACGCGGGTATGGGGGCAATCTTTATGACCCTGAATCTATCAAGACAGACTAGCAGACGATATTTTAAGCAAAGTAACAGCCTGATAATGATTCGACAAGAGGACTAGGCCTCTCCCCAATCATGGATGTGGCTCAAAGTTCCAAACAAGGTTTGTCAAGGGCCAAGCCGAAACTGCATCATGTGCCAAGACTGTGAAAAGGAATTATGATGACCAGGGAGGCACTTATTGAATGCAACCCTTGAATGAGGTTAACATAAAATCTTATAGACCAATCAGAAAGACAACTAATTGAAAGAGAGGGAGGGACATCGATTAGGAATATGGAAAATTGAAGAAAAAAAATCCACCTCCGAATCGGGGAATCGAACCCCGGGCATGACGGCACATCTTTGAGAGCGTCATATGTTAGCCACTACACCAATTCGGAATTGAAAGCGCCACTTTAACTTGAATTATGGAACGCAGCTTAGTAACTCAACATGTGGGGCATTTGACAGTGGGCCTACACTCCATTAGGCGCGCATAATTCCCATAACGGAATATCTTGCGGATCTCCTAAAGGTTCCTTTGTTCACCAAGAGACGCGCGGTAACGGTGCCGGAGCCGCAGAAATGGAATTATGCTGTCTATGCGATTGTCAACGCCTCTTATTCAGGCAAATATACCATAAATGACATGCATGGTCAAGTTCCTCTGGGCCTAAGAATTATCACAATAACATCTTCCGAAGGAGAAGCAGCTTATGGTAAATCCACTATCGCGGTATCGCGTCTTCATTCAGCACAGCCGAAATTAAGAAGTCAGGGTACCATACGGCGTAGAGGGCAGTCAGTATCACGACGTAAGCTCTCCCTTTGATTAAGACTCCATTGCGTCTTTTCTTGGAGAGAAGCGTGAACGACATGCCCTTGCCGGTACGCGAGTCGCCTCACGCCGAAGTTCCAGCTGCAGATACTTCCCTGCAGCTCCTAGTTTGTCACGTCGCTTTCTGCCCATCTCATGATGTACAGTAGCATCCCAGCTATATTAACAGTACGTGCATCCAATAGATGTTCTTATGCAAGAGAAGTTCAAACCCTCACCATATTCGAGATTGGGCCGTGGGCCCGACTGCACCAAAGTTCTAAGCTTCATTGGCTTAGCCTCGTCTTGTAGCTAAGGGTATCTTCGACGGTAAAATAGCATCGCTATTCAACAACATTCAATTCGGAATCTCATCCAGTCCAGATTATATCTAGCACGATCTTGTTTTTCCGAGCCTGGACCGTCCTGTGTTGTCCAATGGGACTTACCTTGAGTACCTTTAGCTTGGCGAATGTTTAGGAGGGTTTTAGTTTCACGCTACCGGCGTTGAGACCTGAAGTTCCAGAATTCATCTCGTCTTACCAATGACGCATGAACATAACTCCCGACGTCCCATCTGGCTACCCCAAAATTACAGGAAATAGTTCAGTGCCTTTCGACCCTTCCGTGCTGGTCGATACGTATCAGTGGTTTTTGCCTTTTCCCGATGCTGATTGATCAGGTTGGTTCACATATATACAAGGAGATGACTTCTTCTATTCACTTTCTAATGCCGACACGCCCTCCGGATTCGCATCAACTATTGTGATGATTGAGTATACTGGTTAGTAAAAGGTTTAATAGAAATCCTGAGCGCGTTACTTTTTAATGATATATTCAATGATAGTGTTTATAAGCCTGATAGAAGCCCTATCAAGGATATAGTCCGGGCTATAAATATTAAAAACTTTAAGAGAACTGTCAACAAGTTCTATAAAAGGTACGTGATGCAGTTATCGACTTCCTTTTTTCCATTAAAATACCCCAGGAGCGCAAGTATCGATAATCAAATCGTTGAAATCGCTACGATAAATACACCACGGCTGACTATTAGCTCTTCGTCAAAACTTGCCGTTTAAACTATATTAATAACTATGATGGTATGCAGCGCGTTGTTTATTTAGCTTGTTGAATTAAGAGATACCCTGTCGCGAAATCCCTGCGCTATAGCAAGTGTTGTAGCACTTTTTGCGGCGAGTAACCTGCGCAACGAAGATATTGTACCTCGTGAGGCTTAGTGGATGAGCTCTAGGGATCACAAGAAGTTGTTAAGTCGGTGGGTATTGAGCCTAGACTAGTGGAAAAGGAATAACTACATTGAATAACGTAATAACTGGGACGGGAAAAAACAAATCGACAGTTCAGCATTGACATCGAGTACTGAAGAATTTACAATTTAGAGCGGGAAGGAATCATTATAGTTGAGACCTCATGGTAACGGGAAGGAATGAATGAATGAATGAAACAAAATACATCAAAAAACGTGCTGGTCTTCTATTGCATGTTACACTGCATTAGCTGTGGTAACAAGGGCCGAAGGGAAGCCTCAAAATGTGTAAGAAGATACTGTCAGGTGTATATCTGCCAGCACCCTTCAGGGTGGCTGTATCTACAGTTCTGGATATATATAGGTGGCTTGGAGCCCCTATATAGATCTAGGAGGTTCAGGAATCAATTGACTTGTCTATTGAGCCCTAACATACACCCTCACCTAGCTGTAGCGACCTACCTATTCACTCTGTGACACCCCCCCCCCCCTGACAATACCGAGACATCGCAGCTTGATGGTTCGCGCTCAAATGTTCTACAGTAGAGGGAACACACTGAGCCGCGGCCCATGGAGAGCATACAACATATATATCACATACTACAAGCACCAGTCAAGACACAAGGTTTGCCTCGCAGAATGTTTTATTAACGAGAGTGATAAGGAGGACTAGTATAGGCGCCCTGCAGTGCGTTTAAATGAAGAAAATACAAAAGCATTGCTCCTGACTTGGAGGGAAAGGGGGGAAAAGTGGAAGCGGTAGAAAAGGTGAAAAGGGGGCAAGGGGGGAGAATATTAGGGAAAATGAAAAAAATGAAAGACTCCACCTGAAAAAGAAAATATGAAGATAGGATCGTAACCGAAACAAGTAAATCCTCACATCTAGTCATCCGTGAAGACTACTTCCATAGATGCGAAGCCATTCTATAGCATCTCGCCTGCTGAGAAGTGCGTCGTGGCCTACCACTTAGAAATCCTCAACCCCACCATGTACGTCCTAGCTGTGGAAGTACGACACGTCCAGGAAAATGCTTCGTCCCAGTGAGGGCAGGTACACGAGCCAGGTCTATATCCCTCGTGCCTGGGGTCGAAGCACACGCACCCGTTCAAGGGACGTAGGTAGCATCGATAGGGCAACTTCGTCCAGCGAATACCCAAGTCTCTCGTCCGGCAGCCGTGCAGGTTGGGCATCGTTTTCCGGGAGCCTTTGGGTTACTTGAGTAGCAGTACTAAATATAACAGGGGAGGAGCCCACGTACCTTTCCTGACCTACAGTCTTGTCAGCGCATCGATAATATGTATGTAAGGGGATGAGATGACTTACCCTTGGTCATTAACTTTGATGGGAGAGCCTCCACTACAATCAATGTTAGTCCTGAGGATTGAAAGATATGGCATAGATCCCGCTGAGGACATACCCAGAGCCTTGACCCTTGTCAGCGCCAGAATCCTTCTTGGACTTGGACTTTTCGGACTTAGATTTTCTCGGCATAGTGATGTTGGTAGGAGCAAGTAGCAGTGAAAATAGTTGTGTAGAGTGTGCAGAGTAGGTTTTTAGCCAAAAGTTGGAAGAGGATGGTTGGATAGTGGTGGATTCTGGGCTCAACTCTGGGGATCTTTGCAGCCTTATATAGACGAATACCGCAGGCTTAGTTTTCAACTCGGAATGTTGCATTGCAATACAAGTTTCGGTCAGGCGAGAAGGTGACGTGTTCATAGTTCAGATTACGCTTTGACGAGCGTCAGAAGGGCTTGGGTTGTTGGGTACACAATTCTTTCCTGTCTCGAGCTAATAGTAACACGAAATTGAGTATCGTCCTCCTACGTATCATCTAGTGACCTAGAAACTCTGGTAGTCAGTAGAGAAAGTGACTAACTAATTGGGAACTTACTAGGTATGAAAACCTTACGCCGGTTTGGCATCGCACAGAAGCGTCCCGTGTCCTCTAGATACACAACCCAGAGTCAGATAGTAACAAAGTTAACTTGTAAATTTTCGAAATCAAGTGCGGACCATAAGTGATGAGCAGGCATAGCAAATACGAATAGCTTCCACGTTATCGAGGCAGACGCATTAGCATGATAATCTCCTAACAAATGAAGTTAGATTGTTATAAAAAAAGTTTAGGGTAAGCAGCTTTAAGGATCGAGCATAGTGAAAAGCTAATAGACTGAAAGAAATTGAAAGGAGTGACCACACTTCTATGAAACCTAAAAATGCACTAAGTCAAACACCATCCTAATATAATGATTCCCCATGTGAGAAAATCGCAAGCTTTTTCAGCTATCCTCTCAGTCTTCCCCCTGCCCGGCTATCGCAAGATGATGATCGAGAGCAAGAACTAGGGGGGGGCTCTGATAGGCCTGAGCTCGGTGTCTGGGCTTGCTGATCGACTAATCCATCGCCTTACCTCTTCAGCCACTGGGCCTGGTGGAAGTGCCAAGTGGCCGTGAGGCGTAGTGGGCACTAGACCTTCATCGTCATTCTCAGGGAGGCTTAATGATGGAGAGGAAGACAGGAGGGGTTCTCGAGACTCCAGAGTCTTCACGACATGAAATGGCGTCAGTAGGCCTGGATATACACTAGGTCCTGACATAGTAAGTTTATTGTTAGGAGGAGTTGGTGGGTCGGTTTTATAAATGGTCGGTGTTGCCTGAGTCTCATTTAGGCCAGGCTTTGGGGGGGACGAGCGGTGAGGCAGGGTGAACGTGGACTTCAATAGACCACTAACGTGTTTCTAGGTCAGTTCCTGCTTTCAAAGACTGTGAAAAGTGATGATAGCTCACGATTCATGATTCTGTGGCTCATCTGAAGGCCTAGCAGGTATGCTTGCTAACGTTAGCTGGTTGGGAACTAATGATGTAGTAGAGGATATGTGAAGACCGTACTCTGTGGTGACACTCTGGCCAGTATCCTTGGGGGGTTCACTCATTTTAGAATAATAGGTTGATATACTGTGAGGAGAGCTTCGAGTGTTATGAGGACGGTGAAGTTAGCGACGGAATAGGGGCGAAAAGGCGTTGTTGAACTGAACAGTGTCGAAGCTGCTGAGTTTGAGTACTTTATATGATTTATAACTTATACGAAAATGACAATCATGGCCTCAAAAGGAACCCTAGCCAGTAGCCAGAATGGGGCCTGTGGTTAGCATGAATATCATATGTTAAGGGTAGTTATTCGTGTTTGGTGGCATGTAGGTTCTTTGTCCCGATGGGCAGTTCGAAGGCAAGTACCATAAGACAGACCATCATCCGCCGAAATATTGGTGCCATGATGAGTCAAGCTCCGTGCGCTGCTAAGCATATGTTGGCCCAGG